GCTATTCCTTTGCAATTCATATGTGAGCTCTGCACTCCTCCCAAGCGGTTGCATGCACGGCACTAGATTTTGCACACTGGACAGTTTTTTATTATCTCACAATTGCTTTCTTGTTTATTTAAAATCTTATCTAGTTTCTCTCACATACTTACATTTCCAATTTGTAATACCATGTCTGTTTGTAACATCACTCAGGAAACTTTTCAAAAATTTCCCTTTGCCTTACCCTAAAACTCTCATTCCTTGCAAAATCAAATCCTTTTCTTTTAGTAACTTGGCTTGAAGTTGTGTGTTAGTTGAAATGAGGTTACACAGTCTCCAAAATGTGTGCCACCTGAAGCTGCAGAGCCTCTTCTGCGAAAATTTGAAGGATTGCAAGTGCTGTTCTCTAGTTCTTTGCTGAGTTCTCTGGCTGGACTGAGAGATTTAAGGGGTTTCCTTTGCTTCTGTTTCTTCAGTGATTTGCTCCATGGTGCCAGAAGTAAACATGGTACAGTCAGGAGTGGTGGTCAGAAATGGTTGGTTGTTTTCTGGCCTCGCTCACCTGACATGGGGTGGGTTACACACAAAATTTTACCTCTGACACACAACTAAAGCTATAGACTTCCACACCTCCTGCTCCAGGCAATACCATGCTGTAAATTAGAATGACTCACTGCAAACTTAGGTCCACTGGAGATCTCTGCAGAGCATTTCTGCCTGTATTTTGGGGGATTTTTTTTAGGGAAACCTTTGCGATTTTGCCTTTCTGGGAGAAAGATTTGTTGTACAAATGCTGTGACAGACTGTTATAAAATTTACTGCTAGGGTTTGCATCTATTGCCTACCAAAAAAAAGGACAAAAAAGCAATTTCCAAAACTAAAAATGACTGCACAAAAAGTCAAATTGTTAGTGTCAATAGTAAGGGCACACGCCTGGAGTTGCAATGAAAGGCAATATAATATTCTTCTCAACGTGACTGACAGAGTCACCGTGACTAGCAAACGATGCAATTCTTGCAAAACAATGTTCCAAGAGCCTATGACAGGATAAAAGTTTCTTCTAGGTTTCAGTAAAAGTCAAGATTTGCAGGTGAGAAGACAAACACCTGTGAGATTACACTCTGCATTCTGGGAAAAAGTTTTTAATTGTTGCGTTTAATTGCCTTTTCTCTTCAATGGAAAGCAACATTTTAAACAGGTTATGTCTAATTCAGAATAGAGAATGACAATTCCATGACTATACCCCCTCAGATTTTTATATGCCTGGCATTAAGAGATTTGATTGCTTTCAACCTTTTGAAATGCAATGAGGCACTTCAGTCAAAATGCAAACAAAATGCTTCAAATTATTAAGGTGTAGGCTATTACAAAAATTCAAAAATATAATACCAAGATAAGGAAAACAAACTGTGTTAATACTTACAGTCAAAATGTCTTTATGGTGTAGAAGGTTTTAGAGAAATACACCTTTAAGTATTTCCAGATTCCCTGTATTGCCTCCTGCAGCAGAACACAATGTGTCCTTGCCCTGCATTGTGACTGCCTTCTTACAGTCAGTGTATAAATACAAACACCCTGAAATATGACCCACAAGGAAATTCCTGTTTCTGCCATGGGAAGCAAATTAAAGACTGTTCTGAAAGGGGAAATCCAGAAGATTAATACTCACTTACAAGCAATGAAAAAAATGTACATTTGAGGCAGCCCTAAACGTCTCCCATGCAGAAAAAAGCCTGGAGACAGCTTGTTTTTGTTGGTTCAGCTTTCTGAACAGTCCCTTCATTCCCCCTGCACTGTGTCTAAAATATAATATCCACCCATGACTGAAAGATAAAGCAACATTAATAACCGTAAAAGATCATAAAGTACCACAAAATGTAACCAAGTTCAGATTTAAGGAACAGCATTTACTAAAACATACAGTGGTGAAGCAGGATTTCTTATGCTACCTATGTAATGACAATGTACTTTCATTGTGGGGTCTTGGTTATAGGTGAATTTTTTTGATTCCCTCCAGAAACATCAGCATACCATTAATGATAATGATCTTACACACTAGACCATTTGGCTAATCCTGCAGATGGCAAGGGAATTGCTTTTAGACAGAAAACAGTTATAAATTTGATCAGGAAATAAGCTAAAATGCCCTACAGCTTGTAAGTCACTATTCAGCTACCTGGCCGAGCTCAAGTGAAACGGTCAGGCTTCCTTATTCTGAATGGGTTCCTTCAGGCTCTTGGGCTGGCACAGCCCTCAGCATGTAAATGTCGCCAGTCAGATGTGATGTCTGTTGGTGGGAAATTTTCTTCTTAAATAATATTAATGTTTTTTAGACACAATCTAAAGAAATGCTCCATCTAGCAGAGTCACTGGTCCCGACACAAGGGAATGTTTTTCTCTCTTTCTTTCACTACTCCTCTAAGTAATCTTTCCAAGTTGCTTTCCTTTCTGGCAATGTCTTCAGGTATTTCATGCTGATCTTTGAATATTTCATATACTAGAACTAGACCAGTTGTTTAAGATTCAGCCTCAACTTCTTGCTTCCGGTGTAAGTCAGCAGGTAGAATTGCTGTGCTCCTTTGTGCCATACTATCAACTTTTTTCCAGGAAACCTTCGGTCTACCAGGAGACCTCTTGCAAATGTTGAGAGTGCCTTGCTGGCTTGCCACATTAGATCACTGAAGAGCTTCAAATAACATTACTACTTCACCTTTTTCTTTGACAAACAGCTACCATTTCACCTATCAGTTGGAAATTCCCAAGCTGTCCTTATTTAATGCGTCATGGTAAATGTACAACAAAATCTGATAAAGACGCGCTCTGTCCACCTTTTTTTTCTTTTAGACATTATGTCCAATAGGGCGAATAGCTTTTCCTACTCACAGAGGAAACTCACTAATATTAACTCCTCTGATTCTTTCTCAGCAGTCCCTTGTAGGCTGGACCAGGGACTAGTTCCACTAATTTTTATATTTTCCCAATGCTTCTTAGCTAAGATAAATTTGCTATGGCTTTTTTTTAAATAAAGTATCATTCTCAAAGAACCTTTAAGAAAAAAGCACTACACAAGAGGAAATGTGTTCCTTACCTGTTATGCTGTTACATTCCTTGGCATTATTTTAAAAACTTAAATGACCTGTATCAGAGCCCCTACTTCCTCCTTTATTGTTCCCAAGGCTCTCTGGCTTCAGAGCTACAATGCATCTGAATAAAAGGATAGTTTTGGAGACGGGAATATTGTTAACAGATATTTAAAAACAGGCTAAACCTTAAGCAAATAAACACTAATGAACTATAAAGACATGAAAGAGATTCCAGAGAAGTAACGAATACCGAAATGTTGACTGGACACATTTCTCATGGTAAAACAGGAATATCTCTAATGCCAGAAAATAGTTTAAGATGGAGTTATTTGCCAAAGGCAATAGGAACAACATTTCCATATGAACTGCTAGACCACTGTACAGTTTACTGTATAAAGACATTTTATACACAGGGCATGATTAAGCGCTGGTAGACCAGGATATTTCCATTAAAATATTTTCAATAATTTTCATTTACTCTAAGAGAGGACGTGGCCTGCCTACCCCAAGTCACCCAATCCAGCTTACTTTTCTAAACTACTTTTCAACTAACACTGTAAACTTCATCTCAAAAAGATCCCAAAGACCATCTGCATTATTGGCTGAGAAAAGTTTTGGGATATATTTTGGTTGGTTTTCACTTCACCAGATTGAGTGACAAACATGCAGATATTAATACGAAATTTAAAAAAAGGTCTTTATTGATTTCATGCTCAAGACGTCCATAAAACAATAACTTATTTAATTCAAACAACTGTAAATTTGACTTATGAAAAAAATATATGCCTCACTATGTCACAGTATTTGTAAGAAAATAAACTTAATAATTTGGTAACTTGGCTTTAATAGTATGCACTTATTTTCTTAGAAGATTTCAAAAGACTACAGAGTACATTAACTGGGGAAAGGGTGAACAACTAATCACTTATCAGTTTAACCAAATCATTAAACTTACTTTTTTGAGCTATCTACCAACTTTATAGAGAATATAAAAAGTAGGAATATAAACATCACTGACATAACTCCAAAATACAAAATCAAGACCATACAGTAGCTAAAAAGGCACTTCTGGTTTCGGATTCAAGTAAGTCTTGGCAAAATTCCTCACAAATAGAAGCTATATCTAAACATACATTTGTTATTGGAACATATAATTCTATCATTTCAACATTAAATTTTAATGTTTTATAACATACCCTTGGCATTCACTGTCTGTTGGTTCAAAACTTCTGAATCAACAAGCAGACACTTTTATTTCTGCAAGCAGAAAAACTGCAATACCACTGTTTCAGGCCATTCTATCAGTTAATTGTCATTTGCAAGACAAAAATCTTTACAATGGTGCTTCAATAAGGCATCATCCAATTACAGTTTGCCTATCTTTTACAAAGATTTTCATTTTGATTTTTCTATTTTTTAATTTCCATACTATTCAGGTAAATCATCTACAAATACTGATTTTTCATTTATCCATCTTATGCTAGAGTGGTAACTAAGTAAATTGACTTCCAGATTAAGCACAGAGCAACCACTAGTCTTCATTAATAATGTTCATAAAAAGGAAATGAATATATTAGACTAAGAAACACCCTTTTAAGTAGCTACAAACTGTTTCATCACTGGACATACCCATAATATGATGGTCTTTGCAAATTTCCGAGGAAGTTATGGTTCCATGAGCTAGCAGTGAAAGAAAAGATGGAATCTCACGATTTAATTTTTTTGATCTTAATTTACAATCTGTTTTCTGGAATAAACCTTTATGGGTCAGCTACTCTCAGAACATCTTCAGTAGCCATAGAATCATGACAGCCACACTAAGGGAAATCAAGATACAGTAATTAGTATTAGCTGTCAGGTTGGCCGACAGCATTTATTTCTTCTTTAAAATCTTGCATATTGTCCATCCACCAGATGGACATCACAGCTTATACAATATAAAAATCTAGTGTAATTACATTTCTGTTATTAAAAATGTGTTACTCCAGTTTATAACCAAATCTGCACCCAAAACCATATCCTGATCTTTCACCACTGGCTGCATTAAAATACACTTTCAGAAGTAAAGTTCCTTAGTGAGCATAGAGACCACGCAGGGAATCTGCTTCTTCTCACTGAAGCGTGGATCATCAGACTGTGATTCAAAATTTGTCGCAACCACATAGTTGACCCGTGTGAGGATCTGCATGATCTCAAGTTGTTTTCCATGCTCATTTAGCACAGAGCACAGAGACTGCACAAACCAGGAGCCTCTTCCAGGATTCCTCCAGGAGTAATAACCTTACAGAAAGACAGATAAGAAAGTACAAGGGGTTATTTTTCCTCTTTTTTCTTATTATCTTGTGCTGAAGAATGGAATGGCAGAGAGATACGTACCAATTTGTGTGAAAGATTCTGTGCAAAGAGTAACAATGCACACACAGAAAGTTTAATTCTTATCATTGTGTCACATATCCTACTTCATTAAAGTGGAGAATAATGTGCATTAACCCTCCAAACCTCACACTACTAAAGTACCATTTTATATTTCTGCATTTGAGAAACTGCAAGAAGTAAGATTTCATGTTTTCTCTCTCCAAGAACAGCTGTAACTGTTCCTCTTCCTGCCTTCATCACATATTCAACATACTCACTAAACTGGGACATGGAAGGGCAGGATTCCCAGAAAATAGTACTGCCTTTGCCACTTGTAACGTCTGTGTTTTCTCACCTGCCAAAACTGGGCTTTCTCCTGTTTCTGCTATAGCTAGTGTAAAAGGGGTGGATACAACACACTGGCCCAACATAGCTGGGCCTTAGTGTTTTGTCCATCAATGTACAATGTATTATCAATGAGGGTCAGTCTACAATCAAGTCAATATGGGTGATAAGTTTTTAGGCTTCTATCCCTGCCCTGACCCCTTTTCTTTACCTGGCACCGTGGAATACGCAAACAGAAAATCTGCTTCTACTGGGAGTTTGTATCTCGGATTGGCATCTGTTTCCAGAGTGTCATTTGCGGGTCCAGAGTCAGTTTGTATACCTTCATCAAATTCAGAGCCTCTGCATGCCTGAAAGCAGTGAAGACAAAGAGAACTTGTCCAATAAGGAGAAACAAGGTATTATAAGTATTCATTAACATTTTTTAATGGATACATTTTTAAGCAGTACTTTGCATGTATTAGAAGCAGAAATGCAATTCTGGGGGACATCTAATTGTTCAGTGATAAAGTTGCTAGCTTACCCATTTTAAAATATACATCCCATACAGTAAAGGGAGGTAATGGTGTTGCAGGCTGCAGATCTCAGTGGATTGTCAAAATGCCAAGTCAGCATTAGCTTATTATAACCATGATTCATTTTACTAGTCTAGAGTCATCCACAGCACTCAATTATTACATAATGTCTTGTGCAGCATGACTTCCGGACATTTTCTTTACAGGGGACTACATATTGTCTTTGGTTCCTGACATGCACTGCTGTAGCACTACATTTCACAGAATAACAAAATTACATCCCAAGATCACCTAGTCCAATCCCCCTTCTCAAGCAGGGACAGCTACAGCAGATGTCCAGGACCATGTCCAGTTGGGTTTGGAATATCTTCACAGATGGAGACTCTACAATCTGGGCAACCTGTTCCAGTGTTTGACCACCCATTTCAAGTATATCGCATTTTTAACATTTTTCCATTTCTCTCTTTTATTTTTAATTTCCTCTTAATCATGTGGTTTAGCTAAAGGGCACATTGGGACCACAGTCCAGGGTGGTATGTTTCAACTCCTGATCAGTAGCTTTGACTGACAGCTCTTGCAAAAAAATAGCAGTCTGATGGGCTTATATAACACGACTTGGTTGCCTTTATTAAGATAATTTTAAAGGCAACAAAGTACCCATTCCAAACTTATAATTAAAAGAAAGATCACTTTAGTAGTATGAAGAGTCTAAAATAGACACAGTTTTCACTTTGAGGTTGAGGATTAATTGATGGAACAGCCTAGGGAAAAACACATCTGCTGCAACTCCCATACGTATATAATACTACGACAAAAAAGAGAATTCAGACTCATGGTATGTCAGTTAACACTGTTTGAAACAGCTGTCTTTAAAAGCTTAAGTAATATACAATTAATTATATGCTAGTGCAATAATGCAATATAAATTTTTAGGCTACTGAGAGAGAGAAAAAATATTTCTTTTAGCAGAATGCAGTAATTTGCAGAGACAGCCTTTATTCAAAGATACCTGGACAGTACTATTTCTATTGATAATCACACACTGTCCTCAGCTCTGCCTGCACAAGAGGGAGTTTATCTTTCTGCTTTGAAGTTCATATATTACCAAGCACAAAGAGAAACCATGTACAAAATTACAATGACAGTATGTTCTTGACATCTGTGAATCTTGTATATAAATTATCTTTTAAAAACGAACAATACAAGTCACCCATAGTCAACTTCTCTCAACATATTTTTTCACAAAACCTCCAGCAAAATTCAGTAAGTTAACCTACAGGGCTCTTGTAGAGCAGACAACCAACATAGCATGTTTTCCCCATTGCAGCAGTAGGATACTATATTTGCATTAGGGCTATTACCTGAATGAAAAATAATTTGGGTTTGCCTATAAGGCTTTTACACTTGTCTCCTCTGAACAGCGCAGTCAAACTCTTGATAGCCATGGGTCCGTCAGTGCCATAGATGAGGCCTTCTTCCCCATGGCTTAGAAGGATACAGGCAAAACAAGCGGCATCACTGTGATTCTCCTCAGCAGCTACAAATCAAATACTTCTTAGCCAAAAGGAAGCAACATTTTAAATGAAAATTATGTTTAGCAAACACATTTTTCTGAGACTAAATATACATTGGGCCTTTAATGGAAGGCATAAGAAGGAGTGGATAAAGATGACACAACCCACTTTTTCGTAACCTGATGAGTACCTTGAATACATGAACGCATCCTTCACTTGACTCTGAGTCTAGCCCACTGGAGTCAACAGGCTGGACCCTTTATCTAGTATGATAAGGCTCTTCATCTAATACACAGGACAGGTGGTTCACCTAATATGACAAGAAAACTGTGTATTTCTGAATTGACGTTGGAGGAAGAGGTGGGGAATTAAGCCTAATCCATTCAGAAACTGAATCCTTCTGTATAGAAAATTGCATGTAGCGGGGCCTAAGCAATCTGTTCTAATTTGACCTGCCTTGAGCAGGGGGTAGATTTGGTGACTTCCAGAGGTCTTTTCCACTCTAAATTATTCTATGATTCTAGATTTTTACCTTGCTTCAGTAATTTTTCCATATCATTACGGCTTCGGTCATTGTATGTGCAAACCTCAAAACCTAAGTTTCTAAAACTCTTAGCTAGATCTCCAGCATCTTTATCAGTGCCATTGCGTGTACCCATTCCTGCCAGAAAACAAAGAACATGGTTGATTGCACATTACACAATTCAAAATAATTCACGTGTTCAAAGGTAAATTTTTAGGTTTGTAATTAATAAACCTAAACAATGTCATGGTGACATGATTTTAAAACAATCCTCTAACATCATTCTCAGTTATTGAGAACAAATTGTGAGATTTGTTTTAACGCAAAACAATGCAAGGTTCAATGTTAACACGTATCTTATCCTGAAAAACGTTGGCATGCCTCCAGCACCTTGCAACATAGGACCTATCTCCTTTTGGTTATGCAATGTAATATATGCATAAAGCACCCCAAGGAAAAACTGTTGAAAAGAGTCCCTATGATACCCACATAAAAAAACCTGATGTAAATTTTTTGGAGTAAACACTTCATTTAGTTTGTTTGCCAAGCATATAGGAAAAGACCTATAAAGTTGACTATAACACAAGTATCTGTCTGCTTTGAAACCGTACACGGTGAAAAGTTAAATGCAGGAGTGTGAACAGAGCACAGCTAATAGCTGTAGTTCAGGGACAGAGAAGTTATAACATGGGCTGCAGATGCCAAAATTCAAATTTTAACAACACAGCCTTAAACTCTGGAACAAAGGTTTAGTTTGAAGTTGGTAGAGTAAGGTGACATGCTCTTTGAAACATATACTGCAAAGAAGCTGCAAAGAGCTGCTCTAATATAAGCGTTAAAGAACAGGAATAAATTGTAGGAACAACTATTTCTCAAAAAAAAAAAATTCATTAAAATTCCATGTCCTAAAGATAAAATGCTTACGGATTAATGAAAGAATAAAAATTCTAAAGTCTGTAATGAGTATCATCAAAGGAAGAACATTACCTGTTTTGTCTTCAAAATTTTTGTTGTTTATAATAATACATTTGCCAACTTTCTTGTAGTCCATATTGTACTGGAATGTGGGTGTAACAATTCGGTACTGATTACTGAGAGAGGACTTTGGCTGTTCTTCTTCTCCATTCTTCTTTTTTCTAGGTGAACCAAATGAAATTATTGTTAGTGGCCAGTCACATGCAGTGTGTCTATTTATCTTAATTCAAACCATCCGGGCAGTCCTACCCAATGTTTTTTCTTCTATAATGTTTGTTTTTGTCCTTCATATGGCCTAAACATGAAGTCAGGCTGGCAGTAACCTTTTGCAAACTATGGTTCTGGGCATATTTTACTTTTAGTATAAGTAATTCATGGAAGGACAGACAGATTTCTCTTAATAACTATTCCAAGCACAAGAAGATACGCAGTTTACCCAATGGCGTGATAGGATTTGTTTACTGAATCACCATCATCCCTAAATTCTCCGAAGATTAAGACTAAGCAGTAGGTAGTTTCTACTGATAAAGGTTATAGATGTGAACAGGTCATGTGTTAATTTGGTCTGCCAAACAGCAGTCTGAACCTATGCAAAAAACTAAGCACATTTTAGTGTAATCATCAATACCTGAACCTCACTTCAAAAACAAAACAAAACGAAACAAAACAAGCTATAAATGTTCTCTGCGTATATGACTCTGTACTGACCTTTCTGCTATGTACAGGAGTCTTAGATTGGATTAGAAAGAGATGCAAAGGGATAGCACAGACACTACTCACCAATGTATTCTAAATGAAGTATTAAGAACAAATCAATTACAACCAGCATGCACACCTGAAGTATAGGCATGAGGAACTCTACAGTACTTGCTCTTAGAGGTGGACTTTTTGGTCCAAGCAGGTGGCTTCAGATGTTGGTAAGATCTCCTCGAGCAGAACTGAAGCCAGTGAGAGCCTATAAACGGTCTGATTCAACCTCAGAACCAAGCTGTGAAGCAAGCCCAGTTAGAAACAATGCTCAGGAAAGGGCAGAAGAAGTTATCAGCACCCTCTCTTACTTATTTGGTCCAGCATCCTGCTTCCAATAGTATTTATTGCTGATGTCTGAGAGGAAAACATAACCTACTTTCACAGCACAAATAACTGTATAATACAGTTTGTTTTTAACAAAATTAGATTTTTCCCATAATCTCAATTAATTTAAGTACTTTCACTACTCTCACTCTGACATCTTTCTAAAGAATTACTAAGGTATTTGCTTTGATAATAGCCTGTAGACATGAGATTGCTGCAAATTGATTAAATGTTGTTTAGGTAATCTACTTTCTTACCTTCCTGATTTAACAATTGTTGTCTTTTAGCTTTAAGTGTCCTCTTTTTTATTACTAAAACTACGTTTTAGTAATAAATTGGACACTATAACAATTGGACACTATAACAAACCTTCTCTAGATGATTCATCGTGTTTAAATGCTAGTGCAATTCAATTTTAAAAGAGCTTTTTCCTATCTTTGAGTGTCCTCTGCTATAAAGGGCCAAATTAAATACTGCACCTGGCAGGCTTTCTCCGTACTCTTTTTACACGTGACCATCCTAATATAATCTCCTCTCTTAGACTTCTCTTAGAGACTACAAAACAAGATATTGAATCATATCTACTCGAGGATTTTGTCTGATACTCTGGAAGTACATTTTTTTCTGGCAAATCGCAAGTATTGGTATTCTCCTTGCATACTGCTTCTTGAGGGCTCTGGGAGCAATAATTAAATATGCTTTGCCTCAAGAAAAGATTTTAACCATTTTAAAGAATTATCCACAGCTGTATGATGTTAATATTACATTTGACTTTCAAAGAGATCTTGGATTCTTATTTTAGCCTAAAATTCCCCCTAGTCCTACATCACTAGACAGCTCTCTGGCAAAGAGAGAAAAAGAAATTTCAAAACAACAAATAACCATTCAGGTCGATGAAGAGCCTAATTTCCTCAGTCCACACTGGATCCAAGTTTCGACAGATTTATCTGGTTTCTCTGACTTCCTGAAAAAGCTGTATGACTAACAGTGGCTGTTACACACAACAGGATATTTTCAAGGGGATTGTACACAAATTTCTGTTTATGTCCAACCCATGAACAGTTGTGAGCACTCGGGACAGATCCACATGAGTGGACCCACAGTACGGTATCATATTTGCACTGTCTGCTCTCCTAAAATGCTGGAAGTGATCTAATTCTAGTCCAGAAGTCATGCAGCCATATTACCCCACAAAAAGCCTCACTGAAAATAGCAGCTGGGGTTAAGTGGCATAATAACGTAGCCACACAACTTCTCTGAAACCACTTCACTTCCGAGTTCAATAGCTTGCACTCATTCATGCAGAAATACTTGGGAGTTGACGGGATGTAGCTACTACTGCTGGTATTGCCAAAAGTATGCCAGAAGCTCTATGCCAGTCAATGTCAAATGTCACAGACAAGCCTTGTCAGCATGGTAGCACGCACAACTATAATTTCCCCATTCCTGTACGGAAGACAGTATGGTTTTGTTCTAATGATTCCTTCCAAGCTGAACAGGCTAATGAGATAATAAGCAACCACAGCATGCTTTGTAGGGTTACGCCTATCATTTTTTTACTGGCAGACAACAAAAAGTTCCAGAAATCTTTTGGTATCTGTCCAAACTGAATGAATAAGGAAGCAAAGGTCATGTAGTACACATATCCTGGGCCTGCAGTCCAGAGGGAAATTGTTTTTTTTAAGATTCTGTTTTCTGTGCCAACATAGCGCAATACAGGAATTGCCTGACTGGACTAAAATGATATAAGATCCAACTCTTCAGTTTCAACAAGCTAAATCAGACCTTGTAATAATGAATAATAAAGTAATAAATATGTAATAATCAGTCCTTAAGGGAAATGCCCTATCAGTGACAGGCTGGCTTATGACTGAAAGCCTAAAGCTTTCCACCTAAATTTTTATTGTCTAAGCTTTGAACTGGACACATGTTAATACAAATGTTTACTGCTGTTGTTCTTACTAAGCTTTCTAATCACCGTATCTTCCGAAAGGGTTTCCACAGGTTAGCTATGTGCTGTTATAAAACGTTTTAAACTATTTGCCTTCAGTTTTATTTCATTCCGCTTCTCTGACATCCAATGTCTTTAATTTCCCTCTTTTGGGATTCAAACATGCCCAGACTAAATAGCAACTTGAATTTTACGACTGTTTACTCTTTCTTCAGCTTTTAATTACAACTGTGCCATAACTCCTCACTCCACTAGTGGCCACTGATCTTTCCCTTAGACAGAAATATTCTTCCTATCAGTGCTCTCACGTATTTCATGTCTGTCCCTTCGGTCAAAAGTTCAGCTAAATTGAAACTCCACTCTGGCACCCTCATATAGCTTACACATTTTCACCCTTGCTGTGTCTCTAAATCCAGGCCTTAGGCTTGACAACAGTATGTCTGGGAATGTGATTTCATTAAGTCTAGACTCAATCGGCGTCAACCCCGGGAAAATCATTATTATCAACTTCTCACTTTTCAAATATAAAATTAAAGTTACCCATACAATTTATCATTTTGTAATTGAACTTTTAAGTAGCAAAGGCCAAATTTCTTATCACCCTGAGTGGCTAAAATTCTGTCAAAGTCAATGGAGATACATCACTTGCACCAGTAGTGAACTTGGTTGTCTAAAGGACTGCTACTTATCACAACAAACTTTCTTTTCTGTTACACTCTGGGTAAATGATGATTTCAGTATGTACAGATATAAAGATTTAAGAATAAAAATATCACTGTTAACATTTAACTATACCTAAAGATTATTTTCAATAACAATGTTATTGAAAGCAGTGTCTCTTAGCAGCTGAGATTTCCTCTCCTTTGGCTTCCTTTCTACTGGCATCTCCCTGCACTTTCTTTGCTACCGTATATTAGTATGACATACCAACATACTAAGAATCCATGTGCAGGAGAATGGCTTCCTTGAGTGTTGCAGTCTCTCATTATCTCTCCCACCTGCTACAGCCAAGCTCTTGGGCTCAGGTCTGCCAGCCCTCCAGGCTAACAAGTGTTTCAGTGAGAACCAGCTGCTTAATTTCAAGTGTAGTGTGACATATTTCCATGGGGAGGGTCTTCACTTTCCATCACATTACATAATTAATGTCAGCTGTGTAGCGTGGTATTGCCTACTTTTGTGCAAGGTGTAAAGGCCAGTGACTGTAAAAAACCTTCTGCACCAAGAAAGCTGGTCTGCTATAACTATATAGATTCCCTTTGGAACAGTACCAGCATAATGCAGGGAAAGTTCTCAAAAGAAGAGTGGATGATTAAAAAGAGGATTACAGTAACCGAAAGACAATAGAGCTCTTCTGAAAATATGAGCTGTTTGGCCTTAAAAGCAATGTGACACTTAGCACACAGAAGAAACAGCTCTCCCTGGAAAAGAACAGTCCCTTAAATAGTCTTATGGGCAGAGGATTAGATGAATAAAGACAACTTCCATGATCATGACTTCCCAGTCACAGGATGGGAGGAGTCTCCTGTTTGTTTTTTTCCCGTTTGTTTGCTTTTCTAAGAGGAAATTAATGTGTTAATCAAAATGATATTACAGAGGGATATCCGGGCTTTAAAAACAGCTATAGTCCCTTTCTCTCCCAGGAAAGTTAGGGACTTTTGTTGTTGTACTGAAAAGTGTAAGCAGAGAAATGTAATGTAAGTAGACACGATACTATTCAATTTAAGGAAGTTGACATTCAGAGGTGGGTGGAAAAGGCTAAACTGATTACATTCGTTTCTATTCAAAGTACACACACAAAAGAAGAGAACTCTGTCTTACTCTTGCTCTATGAAGTTCAGTAAATTTGGGCTTTACTTGATAAGGAATATCACAGAACATTGTGATCGTTTTTACTCTGGCATGCTTCTTTAATACAATGTGCAATCATATATCATTTTTGAATGACTGATAAAAAGAAAATTTGCCTTAAAAAACATGCTATCTTTACAGAACACATCATCTCAGGATCCCTTCTGGAGTCCCCACGCTTTTCGGCATTGGAGAATAGTTTTATTCTAGTTTCCATCACATTGTCAGCCTTTCTGTTGAGTCCAGGCAAGAAGATTATAGCAGTGGTACAGTGACAAAGTCCATAGT